ATGTTTTCGGAAGGAAAGCATTGGTTGTGGTAAGTTGTGGAGAAGTCGGTCATTTCGAACCAACCTGTCACCGTGGCCTTCACCCATTTGGGAACATGCTAAGAGACTTCTATACGATTTCCAACCGCAATGTGATGTTAAAGGAATATGCAAGCGGTCGTGTCAGGGTCTTGATGACAGACTGATACCGTTTGCTTTTATCAAATCAGGTCCCCAGTGGGTAATTCTCTCGGCGATCCTCAAGACTTTATGTTAGCTAACCTCCACCTCTTTGATACCTCCAACTATCCCGAAGACCACCCACTTCATTCATGTGGTACACACAAAGTCATTGGTCTGATGAAAAGACAGAAATAGGGTGGTCAGACTATCAGAAAGTTTGCTCTGGACTTCAATTCCAAAACTAGAGTTTCATTTTGACAAAACTTCAGGTGAAAGGGTCGAGAAGAGCACTGCATAAGGTGCAAGAAACATTCAGAAGTTAGAAACATCTTCGTCACCACATGTTCAAAGACTGTCTTTTCAAACACAAACAAAACATGGCCACTTATCATCAGATTCCATCCATTCACAACACCCTCTACACGGACAAAGTGACCAAATTGGCTTTAACGCCTCAAGATGATAAGCGATACCTGTTGGCAGATGGCATTGAATCTCGACCCTATGGATTTAATCCTATTTAGAACTTTGCAACGCAGTCTTTCTGAAAGAAAGATTTCTAAAATCTCTCACTCATTGGTGCACTAAGTGTCTAGCAAACATGACAATAAGCCCTCCGGTGTTCCTGAACATGTGGGAAAAAACACACTCCAAACCATCTCTGACAAAAACAAAACAAAACACGTATTTCAAAACTTCATTATTATTTTTTAACATTCTAGTTATTAGCTTGTATGATCAAACTCGATCATATATGACAGAAATAACAACTTGTATAAGAGAAACATAAAACTTGCATGACAGAAATGTGTATGACAGAAAGTGAAATGTGTATGACAGTATCTAAAACGTGCATGACAGAAACTGAAATGTATGACAGATACTAAAATGTGTTTGACATAAACTGAAATGTGTATGACAGAAACTAAAATGTGTATGACATAAACTGAAATGTATATGACATAAACTAAAATGTGTATGACAGAAACAAAACCTTGTATGAAAAAAATATATTTTGTCATCATAAACAGAACACATGTAAGTAAATAAATACTAATACAGTTTTGCTATTTTTTGTTTCTAGAAACATGATGAGTGGAAATCTTACAAGGCGGTACAGATACAAGGTGACCGGAAGACGTGAAGGACTGATCAGAGAAGGGACAATGTCCAGAAGAAGTCAGCTTGCTGCCTATCTTGCTGGAGCTCGATGCCTTGAGAAGATTCTTAGAAATCGATTTAGATCATCATTAGCAGCAGTAGCAGAAGACCAGGGTCCCTTTTCTGTCAGTGTTCTGGAAGTTAGTGTTCCTGAACAAAGAGTTTTCAGAAATCATGAACTGCGGCAAAATAGATTGCGATTTGAATCTATTCGGGACGCTCTTTACTTGGATGCACTACAAGTGAAAGTGGATGAACTGTGTAGTAATAACTGTTATGGGTGTGAAATAGATCACCCTCCCAACGCCATCATCAGTGTCTCATGCTCAGTGGTGAAGAACGTGTCAGTATGTATTTCGATGAAGTATTGTTGACTGTTTCACATGCTACCATCCTTGGAGAAAGCAAGAGAACAGAGAACATCCGCTGGACTGGATCTCCATGACATGTACGTTTTGCGTTACGAGAATGAGCTCTACTTGAATGCCTTTTTCTTAACTTCAAGTAGAAAGGAACAAATGGAAGAGAAGTTGAAAGAGAGAATGAAAGAACAATAACATGTGTTCAAGGTGAAATCAAACATGAATTTTCCTGATGATATTTTCATAAATAAAAAAACAAAAAAACATAACATCTGTTTCGTGTTTTCTTTATCATTTCACTGCCACCCAAAGGACAGCACTGACATCTAGAACAAAATGCTGGGATTCAATAACCCTTTGCAAACCACTCTTGATCTTTGAACACAGTTGAGGTAAACACCAATACCCCCATACAAACCACTGTGGATAGATGAACAAAAAAAAAAAGATATTCACTTCATTACCGACACGGGTGCATGTGAACTGCTATAATAGTGCTCATAGGATTCCATGTTCACAAGTGAAACACAATTCAATTTCATCATTTCTATTTATATGTGAATTATAAACAGGATGTCACCTACCCAATCAGTTTACTACATTCATTCAAAAATTAACCAATGAATTTAGAACTAATTCCAGACATGATTCATTTCATTTTTTAAAATAATACACAAGGACCTACACTTGCTTTCATTCGAGCGACTTATCACCAGGGAGACAAGTTCATGTACAATCTTGTCACCATGTCAACGGAGAAAGCAGAAAGGTTGGTACTGTTTTATTCCTAAATACTCTCTCCATTCAGTCAACACTATCTTACACATGTCTTGAAACATATTTAATTGTGTCGAAGAATATTATTTGCATATGAGAGCTATAGCCTTCAGCCTTAATATAGGCAGTCTACATAGTTAAAAGAAAAAAAGGGGGAAATGTCTTATGGAAGTAAGAAATGTCACGACGACTGAACACAACTGTTCTGGTTTGTTTTTTTCTAACAGTAAGTCAGACGACAGGGCGACCTTCTACACTTGGAAGCAAGTGATGAGAGCTCCTCATTGTGTGAAAGAGTCCATCGTTTCACAGTCAAATGATTGGTTCCGAGATCGTCGTGCATGTGTTGAGGATGCCAAAAGAAAATTTCAGGACGAACACAAAGCTACCCAGCGAGTGATCATAAAAAAATCCAGGAAAGGGTCTATGTGTGCAGACGAAGTAGCCATGGCAAATCAACTAAAACATGCAGAGGGGCTTCTGACTTTGTGTTACAGTTTCGAGGTCAGTAAGATCGTGAGATTATTTCCGTGGGAACTCTGTTTCGGTTGTATGTTTGATGAAGAACACTTTCACACTTGTCGTGACCTGTCAGAACAGGAGCAAGTCGACAAATACTTCAATGCCGCCATGACCGAGGTGAACGATGATCACGTGATTGACAGATGGATGAACTTGTTGACTGATGACTCATCCTTGAACGCACTCACTGCTTTCAGTTTGATTCCCTATCAGTGCAAGGATTATCGTGACTCACAGTTTAAAACCATGGAATGGGTTCATGATTTGAAATCGCGTGTGCTTAAGATGTTATTTTTGGAAAACAGATTTAAAACAGACAAATGTTGATACAAATGAATCTTCCTGTAAGTAAAAGACTTTCAAAATGATGTATGTCTTATGTGTAGCCAGAGAATGCTTAACAGTCAATAAACTACACACCTATAGTCTTTGCTGTTGTGTTACATTGTGTTATTTATATATATTTACCCATTTCCCATGTTATGTCGCAGTACATCATGAGTTCTCAACAGCAGAACAAGACATCCTTAAAGAAGCACGAAAAAGCATTATCAGACTATTATTTTAATCCCACCAAACCAGGGGCTTATTATGGACCCTCCAAACTGCGTGATGAGTTAAAAAGCGAACAGACCACCTGATGTCAAGCTCAGGAAGGTGAAGTGGTTTGTCAAGAACCAAGATGCTTACAGTTTACACAAACCAGTGCGGCATAAATTCCAACGGATGAGAGTGAGGGTTAATGTTGTCAATGAGATGTTCGACTTGGACCTTGCTGATCTTTCACGCTACAGCAAAGAGAATGAGGGCGTACGGTATTTGCATTTGTGTTTCCTCTGTCAAACAAAAAGCCTGAATCTGTCTTGACAGCTTTCAAACAAATCCTCAAGCAACGGCGTCCTAGGAAAGTACGAGTAGATGGTGGAAGCGAATTTAAAGGCGTATTCAAGTCGTTTTTACAAAAAACAAAAGATAAAACTCACCATAGCTCACAATGAAAACATAAAAAGTAATTACGTGGAACGTTTTAACAGAACACTGAAATCCCTGATCACACGGTACATGACCCATAATAACACCAAACGTTATGTGGATGCTCTACCAGATTTAGTGTACAACTACAATCATACCCTGCATTCGTCTTTACCCAAACTCTCTCCGTCACGTGTCGATAAAACCAACGAAGTGAAAGTGTGGAACCATATCTACCTGGAACCTTTGAGAAAAGTCAGCAAACCTAAAATCAAGAAATACTTATTTAAAGTAGGTGATCTGGTTCGCATCTCATACCTCAGGAAACCTTTCAGCAAGGAACTCGACCTCAAGTGGATGGAGGAGCTGTTCAAAGTGGCTCGACGTTACAGGAAACAGGGGTTTCCTCAGTACAAACTTAAAAATTTTCACGATGAACCCTTGATTGGGTCCTTTTACACAAACGAGCTTCAAAGGGTCAGCAAAGCCGCAGATGTGCTCTGGCAAGTTGAGAAAGTGCTCTAGTGCTCTGGGTCGGCTGGCCCAAGTCTTTCAACTCGTCGTGGAAGAACGCGAACTGAAAGAAGTGCAATTGCGTGAAAAAATAAATATGAAGAAGTACGTGTTTCTCAAGAGCTCCCACTCCAAAAAGACATCGTTTCCAGAGAATACGACCTATCATTTTCGTGTCAAATTAAATCAAAGGTTAGTCTTCGACGGATTCTGGGTGGTGTCTTTAACGGAGCTGAACTTTGGAAAGGTGGATCTGACTAAGGTCACAAATTCATACGTAGACGTGTTGTGTAACCTGTGCAACAGTTCATTGGTGGGCGAAACTCAACTGGCTTTATTGAGACGCATCGATCTGAGACAGGGACCTACCTACACGTTTGGTACTGAATTTAACATTCACGTCAAATTGAAAGACACCGACAATATCGAATTGTATTTAAAGTCAGAAAATGCATCTACAGCTTCATTCTTAACGGAAGAGACTTACGCTACACTTCATTTAAGAGGTTATCCTTTTATGGAGTAAAAACCATGGAGTCGCGTCTACTGTATTTCCCGGACTACGCCAAGTTTAAGCAGTATTTCGACAACAAACAGGTGAGAAAAACATCCCATCTGCTCCACGGGAAAGCAAAAAAGCTGGTGATCCCAGTTCGTCAAGCAGCAACACAACAACAACAACAACAGCAACGTGACCCGATCAAGGTTACTTTGCAAATGACGTCAGAATCCCAAAGCGAGGTAGAGAGAGCGGGAGCCAAGGACAAAAGACAGAAGGCTTTAAAACGCAAGGCGGGCGAAAGGTGCGTCACAACCAAGAAGATTCGTTGAACCGACAACAACGTTGCGCCTTCCAAGACGGTCAAAGCGCTCCAGTGTACTCCTGTGCAAGAAAACGATATCTTCAGTTAAAGACGTCCATATAGAAACATAGAGCCGACATGTCACTCATCAATGATAATGAGTTCGACGAGTTGTTGCCAGACTGTCTAAATTTATTTTCGCTACCTCACTAGCATACAGAAACATTATTTCGTGAATGTGCGACCTTTAAGCCAAATCAACGATGCTGCCCCATTCGAGTTTCAAGTTAGCAACTTAGGCCCAGACTACACCGACCTGACACGCACCCGTCTGCACGTCAAAGTCAAAGTAACGCAGACCGATGGCACGGCCTTGGCCAAGGATGAAAATGTCGCTCCGGTGAACTTGTTTATGCAGTCGCTGTTTTCCCAGGTCACGGTCTACCTACAGAACCAGCTCGTGTCCAGTACCAACAACCATTACGCCTACAAGAGCATGATGAGGGCCCTGCTGGGATATGGTGCAGAAGCGAAAAACACTCAGTTGGGGACGCAGTTGTTTGCCAGGGATTATGCGGAGAGTGAGGTGGATCTGGAAAGCAGTGACGTCACTGGATCTGTCAATGGGGAAATGGCATTACGTGGCACTTTCATAGCGCTAAGCAAAGAACTTACCATGTCGGTGCCCGTGTACGAAGATATCTTCGACATGAACCGACTCCTCCCCAACGACGTTGACCTGACTTTGAAAATGTTATGATCAGAACCCAAATTTTGTTTGATGAGCGACGCGACTGATCACGAATTCAAAGTTCAACTCTTGGACGCTTTATCTGCAGGTGTGCAAGGTCAAAGTAAACCCCGCCTTGATCTTGGCTCACAATACACTTTTCAAAAAATCAAACGCTCTCTACCCGTACACCAAAAGCGAAGTCAAGGTGACCAGCATCCCGACCACTCAGCAGACGCACACCATAGACAACGTCAGCAATCCCGTCGCCAACCGATACGTTGTGGGACTTGTGGAAAGTTCGAGTCTAAACGGTAGCTACACCGTCAATCCCTATAATTTCAAGTCGTTCATGCTTAAAAAGATAACGCTGTACATCGACGGAGTCAGTGTGCCCGGTCAACCCGCCGAAGTGGACGATGTCGCCTCTTATGTCAACATGCTCGACGGCATGGGACTGTGGAAGGAAGACAAGGGCAATGCCATCACCAGAAGCGAATTTCTCATGGGGAATGCCTTGTTCGCCTTCGACATCGACACAATGTGCCGAAGTCAGAGTACCTGAACTTGGTGAAATCGAGAAGCGTGAGGGTCGAACTGGAATTCAAGTCGGCGCTCACCAGCACGCTGAGTTGCGTCATCTTGACTCAGCGAAATTCCCTCATCGAAAACGATCAAGCCCGCAACGTGTTTGTCAAGTAACAGAATGAAAGCCTCTCAACTTATGTGCGCCATACAGTGTGATCCAAGTTTACAATCTCACGTCATGGGCATTTACGCCAAAGATACTTTACCCACTATAACCCCTAGTTTGCATGCAAAAGGTGTAGGACTTATTGTTGATACAGATGTGAGAAAAAAGTAGGTCATCACTGGATTGGCATGTATTTCTAATGTATGTGGTTTGTTTACATTGTATTTTCTTTCATGTAAATTCAAAGCTGGCTTAGGCATGCATGATATTGTACGGCAGTTTGATACGAATGATCATTTCATCAATGATGAATACGTATCTACGTTCATTTGCCACTATTTCAAATACTGTAAAGATTCGTGTTTACCCTGTATGACTCAAACGTGTGCGAAATATTAATGAATGTTGCTTTAAGTTCCAAATGCTATTCATCATAAAGTAATGAATCCTGAATTGTTATAATGTATATGTCCTAATATTGTAGTTGCTGAAAAATCAAAAAAAAATATTTTAAAAAATAGACTTGAAAGAAAATGCTTTTTGTTGTGAATGAAAAAACAGTTAGTATAAAGTCCATGTGCACAGGTCACAATGAGTTCATTTGTCTCAGAACATTGGTACGGTACAGCAGCCATGGATCACTCTAGCGCTGCATCTACTGTTGCAGAAAACACTTACTTATTACCGTTTCCAACACCTACGAGTATATCCGTTATAGGAGGAAGTTCTTCCGGCAAAACCCATCTGGTAAAACGGATGTTGGAACAGGCCTAGGACATGTTTGAACCATCGCCCAATTTGATCGTGTATTGCTATGCGGTTTGGCAAGATTTGTACAGTGATATGCAACATTCTGTTTCCAACATTCAGTTTCACGACACACTTCCCACGGAAGATGAACTGAGATCCTGGTCCATTCAGTCGGAAAAACGTGTGTTGTTGGTTTTTGATGATTTAATGATGCAGATATGCAAGAATCAGCTGATGTTGCACTTGTATACCACACTCTCTCATCACTTGGGCATCACAGTGATCAACATTCAACAATCGGCTTATCCCAAAGGCGAATGCAACAGAACCATGTCCTTAAACACCCATTATTTTGTGCTACTGTCTAATCCTAGGTCAGCTCACGAACACAAAATTTTGGCTTCTCAAATGTTTCCGGGACAATCCAAATACTTTAAGGAATCCTTGAAAGACGCCTTAGGAGGGAAGAAATACAGCTATCTGCTCATCGTTGCCTCGCCCTATATCGATGACCGCTACGGTCGCTTACGTACGGGGATATTTCCCGATGATGTTTGCACGGTGTACTTGCCACAGTAAAAAATATTAAGGACATCAAGGAAGGCGAGAACACAATTATATTTTTAAAATGAATACTAATGAATTTATTTTAAACTGACAACCTTTATAAAACACTCAGTTCACTTCACTTCAGTCATTCTGCAGACAGCTCTGCTGAGAAATGGCAAAACAGCATAACCTAAAAGAAAGGACCGATATGATACATATCATCGAAAAACACAGAAAGATGGATGAAACACAGAAAGAAACGGCTTGCCGGATTTTGTTTATCGTGTCAGTGTGGGGGGATGATTACGCTGCCTTACAACTAATAGATCACTACGGTGCATGGACTGAAGTGCTCCAAGACTTACTGTGGAACAACAGACTGTGTCCCGAAGCATTTGATGACGGAGCATGGGGAGATGGACGGGTAAGCTACGAATGTTTCAGTAATGAAAACGACCGAGCTGCCGCTGATAACCTTTTTCATGAAGCTATGTCTTTACACGATTATGACACTTCTAAAACCAATACTTCTATAGCCGTTCATGGTGAAGATTTGTTGGCAAGCTCGCAAAACGACTAGCCTCACGATTGCAGTCAGTGGAAACAAGACGAAGAGGAATTTTTTGTGTGTGATAAATACTAACAAACAGAGATGTGTTTCTTCATTTCGGGTTGGATCGCCGATCACTACGCACACACCACCATGAGTCCAATACTGGAAGAACATTCGATTTTTCTTCAAATGTTATTAGAGGCCAATGGGAAGCAGAGAAAGGCGTTCCTGGTACATGCATCACGCGGACAGTTTACAGCCATTATCTCTCTCATCTTTAACGTTTTGAATGGAAACATTGCCTTGACGGAAGACGATAAAATGCGATTGTCACGTCACAAAAAGTGCATTCGAACACTAGCCGACAAGACAGTAAGTGCACGTCGCAAACGTGAGCTGATCATCTCGCATCCAGTGGTTTTACCGGTTTGCGTAAAAGCCTACCTGACCCACGTTTCTCAGTTTGAAAATGGCGACACCCATGATACTTTTGACAAGAGAAACCTACCAGCGGCTGACGACGAACCAAGAAAAGCAAAATTCTCCTCAGACAGTGAAACATCAGACACTGAATCATCATCATCAGACAGTGGATCAGAAATCACCGGGTCAATCTCCTCAACAGACAGCAGCGGGTGAAATTGATGTGACTCAGCATGACGAGATATTAAGAGTACCTGATTCTCTCATCAAGAACATTGGTTCTACCAAAACTGTGGAGAAATTGATGGCTTTGTGGTTATTTATTAAGCGCAAAATTGATTCCAAGGACTTGAGAGTGACTCATCAATTAGAACTTGTCAATCCGGATAATGGGACTGTCATACAAGGTTCGAACCTTGTGAAACTGATTCGTTTCGTGATTCGAGGCTCTTCTAAAAAACCAAGTGGTTATGCAGAGTTTCGCCGACTCCTGCGTAATTTGAACGTGCCCAGACATCTTGTTGTAAAATATCGTTCTCACAAACCCACAGAAACTAAGAGATTGTATGTGAAACGCAAATCTGTGCTTGGTATGCCTGGAAACTTAAAAAAAAAAAATTGAATCATTCTAACATCATGTATGCTTGTAAAATGTAATGGGTTTTTTTCATACTGAATAAAGGAATATAGGAGCATTATTTTCTCGATGTTTTCACTCAAGCAGCTGCATGTTTGAAAAAACACACACGTTTCATTACATCACGTCACGATTTCAACAAATAGGTTGTTATTGGAACCAAAATGTGTTAATATTTGTACTCAAAGGCACCCATTCGCACATGTGTTTCATGTCTTCAAAAAACACAAAAAACAAACACGTGTTTCATATCTCGTTGGAAAAGTATTGTTTCCCACTGCCTTAACACACTGCCTTACTTCTTTTTTTTGTCCTTATCACAAGCACTGTGTAATTTGTGACACATACAAACGTGTCTACAAACATGTTTGCACTGCCCCCTAACAGTAACAGCATTTTTTTTAGGAATAGTATATCTTAAAACCGCCTAGATGTTTCCCAACTCGAGAACACCTGCAGAACACCAAAAAAAGGCTGAACTAAACTTTCATAGAAAAAATAACAGCGACGATGGTGGTCTGTGGTTTAGGGAGTGGAATGTGGGATTACATATGTGTAAATATGTGTACGTGGCGTTAAAAAAAACAAAACAAGATTACATTCAGTGCTCAGGGGTGGGGTATAAAATGAAGGGACACGCACATAGTCAACACTTTTCTGACAGACGCCGTAAAGTTGTTGAAATGGGGATTGTTTTGATTTACAACGATTCCAAGACAGAATTTCAATTTGGCGTTGGGTCCATTTCCCACATGGATGTTTTGCTAGATCCCTCAACGTCGAATCAACTTCGACACATTTTCATCTATTTTCTAAATGAGATTGAGTTGTACAGCAGCCGGACATTTCAGTCCAATTATTGTAGCGACCTCACCATTACGGTCAGCAAAACATTGTTTTGCCTGGATCGTGGGAGTCGCACTGTCACCATCCAGAACCTTAATAGCAACAACATCGCTTGTTTGACTATAGGTGAGGTCAAAGATGCTATTGTGCAACTCATTCAGGGCGAATCCACCTTGGCGATCGAGGGTTTCAAGCATAGATATCAAGACCTGCATTGATTCGTAAGTATTATAAGTTTGTGTATTTGTATTAGGTTTATTCTACAAATACAATGTTACTATAAGCTTCAACCTAATCTCTCACACTCAGTGCAAGTCAGATGCTTAACGGGTTTCCTTTCATGTGTGAATGAATGCTGTGCGACTATATCAAATTGCAGTTAGGAATGTGGAGGGCTTCAGTGTATGTAAACAAAACTGTTTAGACGGGGGAGTTAAGCGATACAATTCATTTGCTATTACTGGCATAATATTACCTCTTATTACTGCCTGGCGCTCGGCATTAATGGATACAACAAGGACTGGTCGGCTCGGAGTCAGTATACTGTGTCTGAATGGGGTATTCATGCTTCACTGCGGCATGGTATCTCAGTGAGCTAGCACTAAAAAACCAGCTTAAGTCTGGGCTAGTACAAGCAGCCACACATACACATACACACGTATACACGTCGTCATATGAGCGAAATTTCTCAAGCACGACGTAAAACCCAATTTCACCTCCCCTCTTATTAACTATGATGTGTGGACAAACCATGTCAAGTTTACATTTGACAGGGAGTAATCTAAACTGTTTGCAATGTTTGTTTTCTTTTTTTCAAGAAAACCCCCAACCTAACGTAAAAATGCAACTAAGACAATCTGTACATTGAACTTTTTATTCCACTAGTGAACAATATCATGCTAAAATCTCTTGCAAACGAGTTTATCTACACGGATATGTCCACACTTTTTCCCTCCATTCAGTTTGAATGTCTTAATAACCCGACCATGTTGTCCCTGGGTTTTTTGTGAATGTCTTCACTGCATTACACCAATGCACATTTCAGTAGTGGATGATATCATACTAAAAATCGCACATGCGGCTGTTATAAACATTTAACACAATTTGAAGCGCCTGTTGTAAGGTCACTGTGCATCAATGCTCAACGTGAAAAGTTCTGACACATTATGTCCACTCACAACAGCATCTGAAGATCAACACCTTTTTTCTGACTTGACACTTGTTGGTGTGCGTCAGACGCCTCATATATGTGTCTTTTAACACTGTCTTACAGTAGACGCATTCAAAGGTGTCATCATACTGTCTTGTTCCATTAAAGTATACCGGCAAACCATCTTCACAACGTCGGCGTTGCCATTCAGGACGGGTGACCGTTGCTGATGCCTTTGGCGAGTTTTCCGGTGATGCCTTTGGTGACGCCTTTAATGGTTGCATCGGGAAAAGTTCAGCCTCCCAGTCTTCTGGATCGGCGAAACAAACTCCTGACGATGCTTTTGATGTCGTCGATGGGTCAGTAGATATATCCCATAATTCAAGATCCCAATTCTCAGCTGAATCGGGGAACAAGACGTCTTGGCTTTTCTGCATTCTGTGCGGCTGTCTGTTGTAAGACACCTAGCTTCTATCACAACTTGGTTATATAGAGAAGACATAGTGACGTCAGGGGTACCTCATTTTTCATAAATAAAGGTACTGACTTCGCCCCGCCCCTCCCCTCCCCTCACCCAATCCCTATAGGATATTGCCTTAAAAGGTTATGGTACATAGCTTAACGTGTGTCATGAATTTCTTTTAGAATATGAAATAATTAAGTAGCTTCCATCGCTCGAACTGACAAAGTTAGCGAAGCCAAATTTGACTGGTTCAATTTAACTTAGTTGCACTTAGCAATAGCAATAAATAATTTTGTTTTTGTTTTGTTTAATATTCTTTTATCTTCCATTATTTACAGATACACGTCCACCGTTCCGCAGCTACTACTACTACTACCACCACTACCGCTGCTACGACGCTACGACGACTACTACTACTAGTGGTAGACCCACTACAAAAAAAAGAGACTGTTCCCCACATGGGCTAAATGTGTCAAAAACCATTTCGGGTGTCCCCCGACGTGATGTTGTTGGAATATTGTTAAACGCGTGGTAAATCCCAACTCACTCACTCACTGTATTGGTGTTCATGTTTGCTTATTAGACAATGGTTAATTCTGCGTAGGTTCGCAGCTATTATAGACTTATAAACTTGTGGAGGGATTTTTAACTACTGTACTACGTGAGAATACTTTGTTGTTTGTGTGAATTATAGAGTGTGCGTATTTGAAACATAATATTCCATTTACTGTTTTGAACTGTTATGTATATAATGTAGGAAGTATGAACGCACACTGGGTTGATGTGTACACCACTAAACTAGGATTATGTGTCGTGTGCACAATCTACTTTGGTTACTTATTCCATTGTTAATATCTTCTAATAATTAATTGTAAGCTTTTGCATATAATTTTTTGATTATCTACACAGATAATTCTGTGATTGTTGTGTAATAAACTCCTTGTTATTTTTACTTTTGTGTCGTGTGGCTTTTGCTATATAGTCAGACCTCCTGCCAAGCCAGTTGGTTCTCCAACTCGCATTTGTAATATGTTTGCTCTCACAAAATTGAGAGTGATTATGCGTACTATATTAAACGTAGTAATACTCTAAAGCATACACTATTTCCCATTAGAATGACATAATTTTCAATACATCTTATCTCCAGATGAACGACATCAATTTAGTCTACCATATTTCTTCGTTGCGACGTGATGGGAAAATTTACAGAACCATACACGTGATGTTTTTTTAGGAAATCCGATAGGGCCCTTGACACAAGCCATAAGCCTTATGTGTTCTTATTCAGTATGTGGGTCAGACATTCCTCTGCACAATCACAAAATCTGTCGACAATACAGTCAAACCGCATTAATCCCAACATCTGAAGTAATGTTCAACCCACCGGCCGACAGATTTAAGAAAAAACAAAATACATCTATCAGATTTCCACTTCTTTTATTACACAGAAGAGCTAGCTAACTCTACATCACTTTCGGCGATTTTTTTCACTGGAGCGGAGTTTGTCCTGCCTCAGGACCTGAAATGAAACATTAAATGCATTCGTTGTGAATCACAGTTAAGGGAAGACAATTCGTGCCGACACGTACATGCACCTTTTTATTCATGAGAAAATCTTTCAACTCACAATAGAATTACACGACGGTTCTAGTTTAATTACGACTGGAAAACAATCTATAATTTCATTATGTTTCTATTAGAGCTTGTTACAAATATACATATACATATAAACCTTTAGTTACAATAAGGAAAAAACACTAAATACATCAAATACACCTTTATGTAATGTCTTTTCAATGGAGAAAAACTTGACATATTATCCATAACGGAACCGTGTTTATGATATCCCGGACCGATAGGTGCAACTGTCAGTAGAATATGAGTGTGTGAGGGAATGAGTTTAGTTTCACACCGCACTCAGCAATATTCCAGCAATATGCTCACGGTCTTTGAATAACTAAGTGTGGACATTCGAGTGATCAATAGCATGAGCATCGATCTACCCAAATGGGAATCGATAACATGTATCAACCAAGTCAGCGAGCCCCCCCCCCCCCTCTCCCCTCTCCCGTCACAAGCACAGCAGGATCTGATAAAATACATATTTAAACGCTATGGACATAAGGTGCAAACGGTAGACAGGTGGAAAGGATTGAAGCAGAAATTCAGTTTCAAACTCACCTACTGCTGAATTTGACAGTCCGATTCCTTCTCTGTTTCATCCTCTTCCCCCATGTCATCTTCAACACAGCAGAAGAACTTGATTTTGTTAAAGAGGCGGTTGTTCTTGGACCGATTTTGTCCGGCGAAGATCATATGGGTTGCATTCCCAACGGCCTCTGTGTACTGGGTGTTGAGGAGGACATCATATTCGCTTGGTAGTGCTTCTTTTTTCACACTAGGGCTGAGCAGAACTTTCCACACATCTTCATCATGGATCTTAATGGATTCATAAGAGATGATCTCGAGCAAAAGGTTCTTGGGTAGGTCACTCACTTTACATCTAGTTGTATTTTGACGCTTAAGTCCATCTGCGTCAAGGGTTTTCATCAGTTCGTCTCTGGAAACACTGGTGACTGTGGGTTCAAAACGTTTCGTGTTGTCTGTCTTACCAGCAACTTCGGAAGGACGCTTGAAAGAATCGGTCATGGTTGTTGGAGATACGTATTGGAGTAACTTCCAAAGAGTGTAGTTATGCGCTAGAGATAGTGCAAATATAACACGTTGAATGTTTTGAGCTTTCTTCTATACCGTTTTTCGTTGTGCGTCACTAATAGATAAAAAAGTGTTGTTCACGTGGTCACGATGTCGAGGACACATCCATGTTCACACAATGGATGACGTCAGAGAACATATTCGGTTGAGCTAAAAAAAATTTCGTTTTACTCTGGTCGTGACGAACGCGACTTGATTTTAGGGTTAGGAAGGAGATACCCCAGACTGCTTCCCAACAGACTTGTCCATAAGTTTGAATTTCCTCGAGCCAAAGATAAGTTGACAATGCAAGTAATCACAACGATATAGATGATAAAGATTTGAGAAAAAATACAGTTTCCGTCTTTGCTACTCTTTTGGCAAATAGTCTCCAGGGCTCTACAGATCTAGTCCTTTCGATAGGTTGTGCCTCAACGGTGTCTTCCATTCTTGTGAAACCATGATCCCATAGTTTGTAGCTTTATTACTTTTAAAACTACATGGTGTCAAACATCTACTTTAAAAAGAAACAAATCATGGAATTTACTATAAAATGGTTTTGAAAACTTCTTGTTGTATGCATAGTTACGTTTTTTGGTTTTATTTGTTTTGCTCAAAATAATTAAGGAACCAGTTCTATCTATTTGTATTCAATGTCTATAACTTAATACAGCGAGCTCATGTTCCTTCAACGTTTGTTTTTTCCCAGCCTCAAGACATGAAACGAAGTGGTATCACATCCCCCCTATCCCCATCCCATCCCCCTCTCTCCCTCCTTCAACGATAAACAATAAACATTTCTAGTAGCATATAACCTTATATGGAAAACATACTACTGCAACCGTGTCTTTCTCGGGAAAATGGTTCTATTTTTTTAACTGTTGGAACATGAGGGGACATGAAGAAAGATTCAATTGGAGATTTGATGGAATCCATGGTATTCCAGATAATGTGCCCATATATTCTGTGTCACTTGTTGAAAATGATTCTTTAGCTCTTCATGTGTCCAGCAGCTTAGTCTGTAATTGGTGCAGATTCAGGAATGTTCTTTCACTTTTCTGAATAATGAGTGTTTTGCCCTTGTATTTTGCCTAGTCTATGAAAGTTTTGGAAGGAAGTTCCTATGGACAAAATTTGAAATAGTAGATTCTCCCATATATGATGTTGCCCAAAATGATCTCATGTTCTGTTAGTTTAAATTGTGGTCATGAAATGTGGATTGGGAATTTTGACCTTTCTTGAATGTATTGAAGATTAGCATCTCCCTTAGGTTCTGTTCTCAGAGTTGGGACCACATAATTAATGAAGGAGCCCAATGAAATGCATCTGTCCCTAGTTCTTAAAAAAAAACGAAATGTTAGACTGGTGGCAACAGGAGTCTTGTGCCATTATGTGTCCCATTCAGCTTCTGTTAGGGGTTCAAGCTGCTTGAATTTTCTATTGAAAACAATGTGTTTTGGAATGTCTTTGACTCTTATTCTAGAGACAAGGTCCTTGGGGTGAGGTCATGATCTGCCTGGAATTTACTCCTTTGAGGGTCATTTGTTCGAGTTGGACATCCCATGCCCTAGAAGATTCACAGGAAAGTTCTATTTCTCCTATAGTGTCCCTAGCTTTCTGAGGTGTTTACAGAATAATTGTTCAATGTATCTGTGTTGAGGACAAAGGGTCTTATGGCCAGGCCTGAGCACCTCTGTCTGAGTCCAGGAGGCCATGAATGAGGCTTATGTTGTCTGGACTATATGTCCATCCCAATGCCCCACATTGTCGTCACTGTTAGTCTCTGCAGTGGAGGGCTATAGAGATGGGTCCATGCTATTCATTGTTATTCACCTGTCATAAGTCATTCTCATACAAGTCTAGGGTCTAGGTGAGTCAAGCCATCTGGTCTGAGGAAACAAAGGGAATTGGAGTTTGTGTTGTTCTGTGTTAAGCATGCCTAATCCAACCTGTAAATACTGCTATGGATAGCTTTTGGTTATTGCATGTAGAGGCTCCTACAAACAGCCATGGTTCCAACAAAACTATTTTATTTTATTTCTTAGATGATTTCTTGTAAATTTCTTACTGAAGTTCACTGTCTGTTGTCACAATATGGACATAAAATGTCTTCCAACACAAGCTGCCATCTCACAATATGGTGCACCAAGATAGATGGTCTTCAAAGCATGGCCTGAAATGATCTGATGTTTGTCCCATGGTCCTCCAAAGTCTGTCTGAGTCTGAGTCCTCCATCCCTGGGTTCAGGGCTGGGCCACTGTGGCATGTTATAGGACTACCTGTCTGATCATTTTTCCTTCCTTGTTCCTGTTCCTTCAGTAAATGCCTCCATGCAAAGGATTTTGTCAAACCCCACAAGTCCAATGGAAACATGTAATGGTGCCAATCTGAGATAAACTGGAGAATAGAAGCAGAAAATATTCTGCTTTCATGCTCACATAATCTTACACCCCATCTATTTGTTAGAAACCATTGTCGATATACGATGGAGGCTCTGAGACAGGCCATGTCTGGTAAATGGGACCTGATGAGTATTCCAAGGCTCCAGATTCAAAACAAAGATGAGCCAGATAATGTTCTTCTGCCTGTGTTGAGAGTTTAAGTTCAGAGTTTGGTCTGACTGGATGTTATCTGAGTGAAAACTGAAGTCAAACCTTTAGACGTTCTGTAATAAAATCAAATGCATCTAAAAAGCTAGAGTCCTGACTCTGAAATGTTCTATGCAGCTTGAACTCCTGATATCACTACATTCTTGGCAAAACAGAAATAACCCAGGCACCACCACCATCCATGATGGTCAGTACTTAGTCCCACCATCCGTCCATGTGGATCAGGCAACATGAAGGACCAACAGCCACAACCCCACAGACATACTTTGGATGAATGACTCTGTCAGCATGAAATATGCCTGGGAGAGGTTGAACTGGTTTGAACAACATTATTTTAATTTGAGCTTTGAAGACCTGAAAGATTCTTATATGAATGAGGCATGGATCTGTCTCTCCCAAAACAACCCCCAGTGTTCAGATAATATTTATGCAAATTGTTGGTCTGAACTAATGGGGCAGTTCATTGTCCATCCCGTCAGAAATAATTAATTTTGTTGCAAATTTTAACCATGGACTTGGTATGGTCATTCCAAATCATGTCCGATTCCCGAAACTTATAGTAAATTTATCCGAATGCCGCGGCTCTGCAGTGCCCTTTTGAGAGTTCGTTGGTCAAATTCGAAGCTTTAGAAACGAATGGCCGAAATAATCCTTATCTCCGATAATTCGTTTGGAGGTCCAGAAAGAATATGTTTTGTTCTTGGTTATACCAGAGGTTTGGCATTGAAACCTTTGAGCGCAACGAAGCGGTCATGAATGTTGGAGCGTCTGTCTTTACAGTTATATCAATGCCAAGTATCCAGTGCGCTCGTCCATCGTACCGGCGCAATATAAACGAAGTTCCGCCAGCGAAAAATTTATGTAGTCCCGCCGGCAGCAAACGTCGTCCTTAGTGCGTCGGTAATATCGAATTGAATAACGCAATACCATGGTGGGCGGCGGAATGAACCGTTTACGCCATACCGTTCTCCGGTATGCACTTCATCAGTGACCATCTGTTGCCAACGGTGCCAGTCGTTAATCCTGCCAGTATTCATTCTTTACGTAAAGCAAAATCCGTAAATTGGAAGAGTTCTCAATAAAAGTCGATATCGGCGAAAGCTCTCATATTCCACCGTTCCATTCAATACGGCACCGAATTTGAAAACTCGAAGAGCGATGTCGCCATCCTGAATGTCGAATAAATATCGACCATTCAGTGTTGGGATATAAAGAATGATCGAAAGTGCCGTTATGGTCGAACTGATGAGTTTGAAAGATAGTTACGCAAACAACTTTGTTATAGAAAATGTTGTCTTTCATCGTCCAGACTTTATTAGATTCCGTTCGACCACGCAACCAGGGATTGAATTGCGATTTGGTAGCCATGATAAAAGTAAAAATCCCAATAGATCCAGTTCTGGCAGTGCCGCAACCTGAAATCATTGGCATACTGGTCATAGCGGTTTGAGTCACCAGGTGGAGATGAATCAAACATGCGTTATGAATATTGAAGAATTATGCAGCGTAATAATACCGCATTTTAATGTATGACTCCAGTCCCATTGGCATATTAATTGCGCATTTGATATGATCGTTTCATATTTTATACCCTGAACATAGAAGTATCTTTTTTGTTACTATGGAATTTTGAAATCAACGTTTTGGCACACCCGTTAATGTTGTTTTATAATAAAGCAATATCATATAACCATGTGATATTTGTTCGGTGAAATGAATAGTTCGAAATTTACCAAATTAGATTCTTGATTGATTCATCGATATGAAACCATGGAATCGAAATTAGCATTGAATGCCGTCATCCCCGTTGTTCATTGATCCCGGTACGCGGATACAGTTCGCATTATTCCGTCTCAAATCATGTTCATCGTCTTGAAACAATAGTCCGGAGTTTGCATTTAATGAGTGGAAGTACGCGAATCCTGTGAATGTTTCGGTAACGTTACCGTTTCGTCTGATGAATGGCTATTCAACCAGCCTGTAAATATGATTGGCATGGTTTGATCGAATTCATAAAAATCCGATTTGATCCCGAGTGAACAAAAAGAATATTCCGGATGGTTAATCAAACTTTGTACGATAATCAATCGGTCCAGCGGGAGAATATGCGCATCAACATCCCCAGATGATTTTGCCCAGCATTTACGTGCCAACGCTGATTCATCATACCGAAAACCGGTAGCGATGATACAACCAGAAGACGTCCGTCAACCCGTTAATTTACGGTTTGGTTTTCCGGTCAGTCCAATATACGATCGGTAATTGGTATCCGCACGGTACCGGTTGATCATTTCAAATGGTCAACTGGTAGGTATGGCCCGTTAGCGACATGGGGCACAAAGATGAACTTCGAAAAGTCCGATGGTCCTAAATTGGTTCGCCA